CTGGTGAATCCTCTCGCCACCCCTGTACCTCTGGCCTGCACCCCAGTTCTGTGTGCACAAATAAATAAATCTTAAAAAAATAATAATTCCGCTCCTCTCCTCACCTAGACTCCACGGTTCTATTTTCTTTCTCTTATGCTAAGAAAGTCCAGGAACTGCATCAAAGAGTTATTGAACGGTACGTGGAAAACCAAAGGATTTGCATTCTTTAAAAGAAAGTTGGGAACTTTTGTTTTCTTCACCAAAAAGAATTCCCACCAAGAATTCATGGTGAGCAGCAGTGCTGAAGAGGAAACACTTCAGGAGAAAAACAGCTTGGTCTATGGAGCCAATTACTTTTTAAATGATCGAATTACTCAGAGGCAACCTGGAGTGGAAGATGGGAGAACGGTACATCTCAGCCAGTGCGAGCCTGAGAGCAGGCCCCCACGCCTGGCCCTGGCCTGCGTAGCTGGCCACCACCCCAGGTCTGGGGGGTGCCCCCCCCGCCCCAGCTGCCGCTCCCCAGATTCACTTACATAATCTCCATAGGTGTCTTGAGTGGGGGGCGGCGGAGGAGGTCTGTACCCAGTCGGGGGCACTCCTCTTGCTCTGGGAGTGAGAAGTCCTCTTCCCCGGCTCACGGGCCCACGGGTGGACAGCACCGCCCTGGACGTGGCTGTCCCGCGTGGCACCCCGACGCCGACTGGCCGTGCGGTGACGCCTCCCCTCCCCCTGCAAGCAAGAAGCTCAGGTTAGCAACACGCATCTTCCTTTCTGCTAGTCTGTTCACAGGGACGGGAACTCCTAAGCGCCAACTTTCCTTAGCTCTGTAAGTGGACACCGCGCAGAAGACAAACTGAAGGAAACGGGAAACAGGCGTCCACCAGCGAAACCAGTCACTTCAGCAGCTGGCCCCGAGCGCCCAACGCCAGCAGCAGCCCGCGGACCTGCCCTGCGGGTGCAGGTGGGGAGCCCTGCCTCAGGAAGGGCGTCCCCCCGAGGCCACGCCACCGCATTCAGTGAGCCTCCCGTTACTGCTCAGTGGATGAGGAGGCCGAGGCCCGGTGAGATCTTAGCATGGGCTGAACACAGTCAGGCACCAGACAAACGCCAGACTCACAGGAGAAGAAATGCATTTTCCCAGATCATGCGTAGCAATTTGAGAGACTATTCTTAAGTGAGCAAGATATTTTCTTTTTTTTTTTTTTTTGAACACTGGAAATTAATGTATAATTTTTAGAAACCACAGAAATGCAAACATTAGAAAACCTATAGAAACTTGCAAGTATTTTTTTTAAATAATAGTTTATTTTTACACCACTTTGTGCCTTTTTCCATCTCAGTTGTAATCCCCGTAGGCTTCCCATCACCAATCACCTGTGTGCCATCACCATAGTCCAGTGCATTTCCCTCTCCCCTCACTGTGTTTTGATCCCATCCCCCATTCCACCCCCATAAAATGTCTCTGGTATATGGCTGTTCATTATTATTGTTATTTTCTCACCTGATCTGTTTTACTCCTGCTATGAGTGAAACCATCTGGTATTTTTCCTTTTCTTTCTTGCTTATCTCACTAAGCGTAATCCCTTCCAGCTCCATACATGTTGCTGCAAAAGGCATGTGTTTATTTATTTATTTTTTGGTTGCTGAGTAATATTCCATTGTATATATGTACCACATCTTCTTGATCCAGTCATCCACTTTTGGGCATTTGGGCTGTTTCCATGTCTTTCCAATTGCAAATAAAGCAGCAATAAACATGGGGGTGCAGGTGTCTTTCTGAATCAGTGTTTTTGTGTCTTTTGGATGGGATTGCTGGGTCATATGGAAGCTCCATGTTTAGCAGTTTGAGGAACCTCCAAACAGTTTTCCATAGTGGTTGTACTAGTTTGCATTCCCACCAGCGGTGCAGGAGAGTTCCTTTTTCTCCACATCCTCGCCAACATTTGTTGTTGCTAGTTGTTTGAAGATGTGCCATTCTCACTGGGGTGAGGTGGTATCTCATTGTGGTTTTAATTTGCATCTCCCTTATTACGAGTGATGTTGAACATTTTTTCATATGCCTGTTGGCCATCTGCATTTCCTCTTTGGAGAAGTGTCTTTTTAGCTCTACTGCCCATTTTTTGATGGGGTTGTTTACTTTATTCTTGTTGAGTTTCATCAGTTCTATGTATATCTTTGTGGTCAATCTTTTACCACTAGTTTTGTGCGAGAAAAAAATTTCCCAATCAGGGGAGTGTCTGTCTGTTTTTGTAATGTCTCTTTTGTGAGCAAGATATTTTCTTAACACACCTCTGATGTATCTCTAGCATGGCGACTGTAAGTCAGAGATATAGCGGGAGGCAGCTCTGACCGGTGGGTCTACAGTCACAGTCCTGAAACAACTTACAAGTCCAGTGAAGCAACGAGGACAGGAATGCACTACCCCAAGTGACCAAGGTGCAGCCTCGGCTGCCCCCCAACTGCAGCACCTCGGCACTAAATTCATTAGTTCAACCGGGGTAGCAAACACATAGCTAAAATCTTAATCTCCAAACAACAGGGAAAGAGGCCCAGGCAGTAAATACTTTAGGCTCTATTGGTCTTATGATCTTTGTGACATTTACTCAGATCTGCCGTTGAACTGTGCAAGTAGCCATGGATATTAATGTAAATTAAGGAATGTGACTCCACTCCAATAAAACTTTATTGACCAGAAGAAACAGGAAATGTACAAAACTAAAATTTGGTTGGTTGGGGAAAAAATATCAATAAAATTGACAAACCTTTCGAAAGACTAAGCAAGAAGGAAACCAGCAATATGGGAGGTCAGGGCCATGGCCACTGCTCTCCCGGGCAGTGGGGCGCAGGCAGGACACTCCCAGCAGCCAAAAGCCTGCAGATTTGCTGAGTCAGATACAGGGAAAAAAACCCTTGAGGTGGACGGAGGCCCAGAGCCCACACAAGGACAAGTAGGTGGCCCGAATCCGTGTGTCTATTAAAGATATTTATTCAGTTGTTAATAATCTAAAGAATGAAAGCGCCAGGCCCAGAGGAGTCCACGGGGAAGCCCACCGAACTTCACAGAAGTGATATCAGTCTCACAGTCTCTTCCAGAAAACACACTCAGACCCCCGACCTCAGGCTGCCTCCTGGAGTGGGAGCCCCTGGGGTCCGGTGCAGGCCCTGTGGGGCCGTGGGAGGAGCCACCCCCAGCAGGTTCCTCGGGGTCCTCCGGGGAGCCACACC